AATTTTTCCTATATGTGTCTTATAATTCCTGAAAAGTGAACATTTTAATGTAATAGACTGTGACAGTTTTGGAAATTAGATCTTCCCCATTTCTCCAGGATTTGGAGTCATTATGTAGGATTATTGTTTATTAACTTTATAGAATAATTATGTAAAGTCTGTATAATTGTTTTATGAAGTCACAGAAATGTCTAGTAGGTTAATTTACTGGAAACCTAATGTTTGGACAATGGTTTCATTAAATAATAGAAACTAGTAAGGCTCTTCATCTTTGCTGAAGGAGTTTGGATGTGTGCATGGGGATAGGGGTAAGCCTTTAATACTCAGATAGGAAATCAAAAATTTTGCCTTACCATTTTCTTTCTATTTGTGCAAGATTAGTCAGGGATGAGAAATTAGGTACTCAAATCCTTCATGAGCATACACACAACCCAGGGTATGCACAAATGCCTTCACATGCATGTCTTTCTAGATTTCTCAGGATATGTTGGAGCTTTTCAAAACCCCATGTAGGCATTCATTGTCTAATTGTCATCATCTGTCTCTTTTTTTAACCAAGAGTTAACCCCAACTTGTCAAGTTGTCTTAGGCCACCACAATTTTGAATAATTTGAGTCCTAAAATTCATATGAAAGAATAAATAACCCAGAATTACCAAAACAATACTGAACAGTAAGCGTGATGCTGGAAGCAATCATAAAACTTGATTTTAAATTGTAGTACAGAGTCATAGTAACAGAAATATCATGGTAATGGCATCAAAAGGGCCATGAAACCAATGGAATAAAACAGAAGACACAGAGATAAAACCACATAAATGTAGTTATCACATACTAGACAAGGTGCCTGTAACATATATTGGAGAAAATATAGCCTTTTAACAAATAGGGCTGGGAGAACTAGATATACACATGCAGTAGAAAGGAATTTAACCTCTATCTCTCACCCTGCTCAAAAGTCAGCTCAAAATTGATTAAAGACCTAGAAATTAGATCAGAAACCCTGCACTGGCTAGAAGATAATATAGGCCCAGCACTTCATCATATTGGCACAGGAACTGACTTCCTTAACAAGATTTCTAGAGCTCGAGAAATAAAAGCAGAATCAATAACTGAGACATCATCAAATTTAAAAGCTTCAGCACAGCAAAAGAAATAATTGAGAGCATGAAGAGGGAGCCAACAGAATGTGAGAAAGTCTTTGCTAGTTTTCTACTGGTGATTAATACCCACCATGTATAAGGACCTCAAAAAAACTTAACACTAAAATCCACATTAATAAATGGCCAAATGATACAAACAGAAATTTCTCAAAAGAAAAATATAAATGGCCAACAAATATATTTTTTAAAATGTTCAACACCCTTAGCAATCATGGAAATGCAAATCAAAATTACACTACATTGGGGCTGGGGTTGTGGCTCAGTGGTAGAGCACTCACCTAGCATGTGGGAGGCACTGGGTTTGACCCTCAGCACCACATAAAAATAAATGAATAAAGGTATTGTGTCCAACTACAACTAAAAACATACACTATATCATCCCCCTCCAGTTATAATGTTAGTCATTAAAAATTTTGGATGATTGTTTTTGACAAATACTCTCATGGTAGTGTTGTTTTCACAGAATGGGCTTCAAGTTGGGACAAGCATATATAAGCCCTGACAATGAAGCTTTCAGGACCTGTCAAACTGGATAAATAGTGATAATTCTCTGAGGGGGAACCTTAAGAAACTCCAATCACATTTTTTCTCCTCCAGTGGCTGCTAAAATGTTGGTTTTCACAGTTATTGCAGCTGTGAGGCTGTTGATTTTCAATGATGCTGGGGAGACATTGATATGATTAGCATAACTTAATACAGCAGTAAAGGTCACTGTTCTTACTTAGGTTCATTCCTTTTTCTAGAATAAACATTACTCAGATTGTGAAGCCTTTAGTTGATTTACAGAATATTTGTTGTACATAGTCTGATGAAAAACTTATATCTAGAATATATGAAGATATCTTTCAGCTCAGTGATAAGAAGAGAAACTATCTAGAGATTACTAAAATCCAATTGGCATATAAGATTGTACCATTATTTATCATGAAAGTGCAAATTAAAATTACAGAGAGGTAACACTGTACTACCATTAAAATTTCTAAAATGAAAATAAATATGTAAATTGACAGGTGTTGGTAAGTATGTGGATCATCTAAAATTTTTATACATTTTTAATATAAATAGGAAATAGTAAATTACTTTGGAAGACACTTTGACCTTTTCTTATATAAACATAATTTCCAGCTTATCATATAACCCAGTTATTGATCTTCTAGGTATCTACCCATAAGAATTGAAAACGTATCCTCGGAAGTCTTTGCATGATATTTTTTTCAGTACCAGGGATTGAACCCAGGGTGCTTTACCACTGAGCTACATTCCTCAGTCCATTTTAATTTTTTTTTTTAATTTTGAGATGGAGTCTCAATAAGTTGCTGAGAGTTTTGTTAAGATGCTGAGGCTGGCTTTAGTCTTGCTGTCCTCCTGCCTAAGCCTCCCTAGTAGCTGGGATTATTAGGTTTGCACTACTGCACTCAGCCTTGTGAATGCTTACAGCAGCTTTATTTACAATTATGAGAAAAAAGACATAAATATGTATGAGTAGATGAGTAAATGAATGCATTTTAATATTTACACAGTGGAATATTACTTAGCAATAAAAAATGAATTACTGATACACATGACAATGTGGATGAATTTTTGAAGTATTGTACAGACTTTAGTTGGACATAAAATGTATGTTTTATATGATTCCATTTTATGAAACTCTAGAAAAATGTAGTGTTGGTATTAGTCCATTTTCTGTTGCTAATAACACAACACTTATAAACTGGATATTTTAAAGAAAAGAGGTGTATTTTGGTTCATGGTTATGGAGGTACAAATATGAGTGGCTACATGACTTCTTGTTTTCAGAGTTCTGAGGTGGTACAGGCCATCATATGGGAAGGTCAAGAGGCAGGGAGTGTGTGTGAATGTCTGTGTATCTCTGTAGTTTCTTCTTTTTCTTATAGTTCTACCAGGTTCCAATCATGGGGGCTCTACCCTGATGAACTTGTCTAAATCTGAGTACCTTTGAGGCCCCCTATCCATACACCTTTATCAAATTAAGTTTCCACTCTTACAATAATCTAGAGCTTACATATTGTTTATTATCATTTGGAATGATAATAGATTGTGCTATAAATAGGACATTAAGACAACATAGTATCTTTTACATATATACACTGTTCTATAAATAGGACATTGTGTAAATATGATATCTGGGATGCTGGGACAAAATGGGTTAACAGATATATGAATCCCCTAAGAATTGTGTTAAAAATGCAGTTTCTGATTTAGGAGGTCTTGGGTGGGGCTTCCAGGTGATGATGCTATTGCTGACCTAAGAATCATTCTTGGAGTAGCAAGAGTCAAGAGGTTGTTTGGCTTAGAGCCCTGGCAGAAAGTCATATTTAAAAATAATTTCTTAGCTGGGCAGAGTGGCACATGCCTGTAATCCCAGCCAGCCTCATCAACTAAGTGAGGCCCTAAGCAACTCAGTGAGCCCTGTCTCTAAATGAAATACAAAATAGGGCTGGGGATGTGGATCAGTGGTCAAGTACTCCTGGGTTCAATCCATGGTACAAAAAAAGATTCTCAAAACTGTAGCTAAATAGGATTTTATTTATACCATTTTAAAATTTTATATACTAGGGGCTGGGGTTGTGGCTCAGCAGTAGAGCACTTGCCTCGCATGTGTGAGGCACTGAATTCCATCCTCAGCACAACTTAAAAATAAGCAAAATAAAGCTGTGAAAAAGATAAAATAAAACTAATTAAAAAATTATATACTAAAATTCAAAATCATTGACCAAAAATAAAGCATTTATCCATTTAGATCACTCTGACACACACACACACACACACACTATTCATTGCTTCCTTAGGCAAAGTCCCTTGGTAAATAGCCTGTGAACAAGCTAAATCTGTTCTCCTTGTAGGCAGTGTTTTAACCCAGGCTGTCATCTGGTTTAATGTGTAAAATGTCCAGGCTGCACACATGTTTTCATGGGGAGGCCCCTGTAGAGGCAGACTGATCACCTGGCTTCTAGTTCTAGCACTGCCACCTAGGTCTGGGATTTTTAGTGTTATATCTCTAAAATGGAAATACATTCTTTCTTTGTAGATCGATTGTGCATATTTTTATATGAAACGTAAGAATGAATTTATTTCACTGCTTATAATGGAGGTTTAACAAATCCTTAAAGCAGGCCCTTTAGAGTGCAACTATAGGGCCTTGGGCTGTAGCTCAGTGATAGAGCACTTGCCTAGCACGTATGAGGCACTGGGTTTGATCCTCAGCACTGCATAAATATAAAATAAATAAAAAGTAAAAAGAGTACAACTATAGCCAGGCATGGTGGTCCACACCTGTAATTATAGTGGTTAAGGAGGCTGAGGCAGGAGGATTGCAAATTCAAAGCCAGGCTCAGCAACTTAGCAAGGCCCTAAGCAACTTAGCATGACCCTGTCTCAATAAATAAATAAATAAATAAATAAATAAATAAATAAATAAGAAAGGGCTGGGGATGTGGCTTACTGGTAACACAACCCTGGGTTCAATTCTGGCACCAATATAAATAAAATACATAAATAAAAAGAGTGCAACTATGTAGTTTCAGGTCTTCCAGGCTTTGAGTAAAACTAGTCAGAGAGGAGCAGGGTGTAGCCATGAAGCATATCCCCTAATGTTAAGAAGGACTTCACTAAGCCATCCCGTTCTCCTGTTCTTTAATTTATAGTTTAGTTGCTTAAATTTCCTTCTGAAAGTATGATCTTTTGTTTAACTTCTTTAAGTGCAAGTTGCTACCTGTCCAGAACACTTCCTTTGTTCTCTATATACTCTAACAGACATGACGAAAGCAATTAAAGGGTAACAGTGTTGACTATTTCTCCTGTCCTCCTTTCTTTGCAGATTACTCCTCTGCTGTTCAGAAATTTTCCCAGACGTTGCAGTCCTTTCAATTTGATTTTATTGGAGACACTCTGACTGACGATGAGATTAACATTGGTGAGTCTTCAGTTTCATGTGGCCATATACCTTTCTCTCTCTCTTTTTTTTTAAACCAAGGATTGAACCCAGAGGTGCTTTACCACTGAGCCACATTCCCAGCCCTTTTTATTTTTTATTTGTTTAGTTTTTAATACCTTTATTTTATTTATTTGTTTTTATGTGGTGCTGAGGATGAAACCCAGTGCCTTACATATGCAAGGCAAAAGCTCTACCAACTGAGCCACAACTTCAGCCCCCCCCCCCTTTTATTTTTTTAACACAGGGTTTTGTTAAGTTGCTTAGGGCCTCAATAAATTGCTGAGGTTGGCCTTGAGCTTTTGATCCTCCTGCCTCAGCCTCCCAAGATGTTGGGATTACAGGCATGGGCTACTGTGCCCTGTACCTCTTAAGGTAGGTCCAAGGCTGGGTAGCTTCCTTGGTTTGCAGATACTGAACACTTGCATGTCTTCATTTTGTCTGATCCAGTGTCCAGTCCCTGGAAGGCTGCTTAGAAAAGATGAGGAAACTTTCTGTTAGTGATTTACCCACAACACAAGCAATCAAGAGCAGGCATGGTGGTGCATACCTGTAATCCCAGCACTCAAGAGGCAGAGGCAGGAGGATGGTTCCCCAGCCTCAAGAACTTAGCAAGAACCTGTCTCTAGATAAGATATAAAAAATGGCTGGGGATGTGGCTCAGTGGTTAAGGGCCCCTGGGTTCATTAACCCCAGTACCAAAAGAAAAAAATAAAAGCCCCAATCAAGTCATCTGTAAACCTCCACTGAAGCCCTTGACTCAGTCTGCAGGGGGACTTTCCTTTAAAGTATCTAATGCAGTAAAATAAATATTTCTGTAGTGGATGATGTAAAGAGTGGTTTTGTGTATTTTTTAAAATGGCTTTTAAGTAGTGTTCTTATAATGAACAAATTCCCCTGGAAAGCTTAAAAATTAGTGTTGATGTAAGTACATGTTTTCAGACAACAGGAAGTTGGCATCTCCCTTGGTAAATGGATTGAACAATTTGTTCCATTAGCTGTTTGATGTTGGAAAAGGTATTTTCCCTCTCCGAGTCTCATTTTTGACCTCTATAAAATGTGGTCAACATCTCAAAGATGTTACCAATGGCTGGGGTTGTGGCTCGGTGGAAGAGTGATTGCCTAGATGTGTGAGTCACTGGGTTTGATCCTTAGCACCACATAAATAAATACATGAAATAAAGTCATTGTGTCTATCTACAACTAAAAATATTTTTTTAAAAGTTTATTTTTTAGTTGTACACAATACTTTTATTTTTGTTAATTTTATGTGGTGCTGAGGATCAAACCAGGGCCTCGCACATGCTAGGAGAGCGCTCTACCGCTGAACCACAACTGCAGCCCCCTAAAAATATTTTTTAAAAAGATGTTACCAAGATGAAATTAAACAGTGGAAGTAAATGAAACTCTGTGTTTGCTTTAGTTGTTATGAAGTTAAAGCAAGAGTCAACAAACTGTGGCCCTTGCGCTAAGGGCAGTCTATCACCTATTTTTGTAAATCAAGTCTTATTGGAACACAGTTACCATTATTTTCAAGTATTATCTATGGGTATTTTTTATGGTACAACAGCAGCATTGAGTGGTAGTGACAGTGATACATGGCCCTCAGTGACTAAAATGTTTACTTTCTGGCTGGTTAAGAAAAAGTTTGCTGACCTTGAGTTAAAGGGTTAATTTAAAACATTTGCCAGATGAGAACATTGAACCATAGAACTATTATGGATGATCTAATATTACTGGAAAATGTTAATAGTTACATTTATAAGCCCAAGAACTAAAATATAGAAGTGTATTATTATTAATAGGTGTCGGGTTGGGGATGTGGCTCAAGCTGTAGTGCGCTTGCCTGGCATGCGTGTGGCCTGGGTTCGATCCTCAGCACCACATACAAACAAAGATGTTGTGTCTACCGAAAACTAAAAAAAATAAAATATTAAAATTCTCTCTCTCTCTAAAAAAAATAGGTGCCTATGTAAGGTTTTGAACAACCAACAATAAAAAAAATAGGTGCCTACTGTAGTATATTTTAATAACAAAGTATAAAATTATGATAGCAAACAGGATATTCCCTGCATAGAAATAGCTTATTGGATATTGTTTTGTTCACTCTTGTTTCCCCTGCACATAAAGGAGTTCCTGGTATATAATGGGTGCTCAATTAATGTTTGCTAAATGAATAAATAATGGATATATTTGCATTATATTAATATAGAAGTTACACTTTATTTGTTTCAAAAATTTTACTATTACAATTAGAATTGCAATTAATATTTTTATGAGAGTAAGATTGGTAAATATTTTGGTTAACTGGCTAAGTGTGGTAGTTACTTGTATTTGGATTATTTCCCTATTGATGCCCTTTCACTCTACTTCTGTGTATCTATCCTTGTTCAAGGGCATGACTTATTAAAAAGACAGATCATGGGCTCTGGAGTCAGACAGCCCAAATTTGAATTGCAGCTCTGCAGATTATTAGCTGCATAACTTTTGGCAAGTGATGTCACCTCTTTGAGTATTAATTTTTCTCATACATAAATTGGGGATGAGATAATAAATGCCAAGTGTGCACAGTGCCTAAGTAAATGTTAGCTATTTCAACATTATTGTTAATATAAGATCTGAATTTTTGTAGTGATAGAGTTGGAACCCAGGATCTTATACATGGTAGGCAAGGGCTCTGCCACTGAACTACATCCTTAGTCCTGTATTTATTTCTTAAAATAGATTCTGTTTTACCTATCAGTTGATGACTTTAAAGAGTGGAAGATATATGGCACATGCAATTTCATAAAATGCTTCCCATTTCTGCTGCTAGAATGGTCTGACTTTGAACAAGTACCTATTTGCCTCAAAGCCAAGCAGTAGGCCTGAGACATTTCCCATGTCACCCTTTATATTGAACTTTGTGTTTCAACTCTGTCACCCCTCTGAATGTCAGCACAGTTGTCAACTAATGCCATGCTGGAAAAAGTGGGTGTGTGAGCTTGAGTATAGTGACTTACAGACCAAAATAAAATCTGGCACTGCCAGATTCCTGTGGGTGTCTGTGGGCTCCATGAGAGCTGTTGGCTGTGACATCTTTGCTTCTTGATGTGTGATTTACAATAACCCTTTAACTCACTCATCATTTGCCTGCCAATTTCAGGAACTCCTAATTGTCATCTGACCATTACTCTAAGGAACTGACTTTTATTAATGGGAACTGAAGAGAGATTTTGAAAATCCGTTGGCCTATTATGGTCATTATCCTTGTTGAATTTATCATTTTAAAAACTGGGATTTGTGGTGGGAGTGAGAGGAAGAGCCAGTGCTCCAACAGCTGAGGCTGAGACTCTTTGGGGCTTTGAGAAGAAATCTTGGGGGCCCTACTGGGTGGCTATTGTTGGGAAAGTACAATTGCCCTGGAAGCTGAGACAGCAGAGTGTGCCAACCCTTTAATCACCAACATTACTGGCCTTGCCTCAGTACATCTTCTGTTTCACTGGAAAAATTCATAAAAAGTATAATAAGATGGAATATTGGGTTGCGTTTTTAGATCTCACATTATATGTTCAGAGGGCCTTTCCATAGTATATTTTTGATGATGGCTCCAAGAGGTAACTCTGTAGTGTAAACCCCATTGCAGATCCTAGGAGAGATGGCAGTTACTCTAGAGCACATAGGGGAAAGCCTAAGGCGTCTCTGAAGAGTTTCTTCCCTTGACGATGAACTCTAGGACCTATCCTGAACGCTTTGTGTATAGAAAGGACTAGTGGGAGTTGGTGTCTCACTGCATATTTATCACTTCTTTAGAGCAAGATATCTATGCCTTTAGTTGGCATTCTCTGGCTTTTTCTTGACCTCTTTGGCTTAGAAGCCAAAGAAAATCTGTCTCAGGTGTTTATGGAATCTGCTTTAGATTTGAGTTTTATTTATTGGCAATGGGATCTTGGCAATGTTACTTGCATTTGTTGAGTTTGTTTTCCTCATCCATGAATTGGAGAGTATAATTTACCTTATAAGGTTGTGAGGAGTGAATCAAAGAATGCACACACACACACACACACATACACACATACACATGCATATCAGAGAGTATATGTAAATCATTTAGCTCAATGTCTGGCATTAAATTGGTACTCAGTAACTTGTAGTTGTTATTGACTATACTAGAAATGTAGTAGAACTTAATTTATAGGCAAACGTGATGGTTTGATGATACTTCCCAAATTAACTGTCAAAGGAAAATGTAGAAGCATAAAATGTCAGTACTGGCAGGGACCTTAGAATATCTAGTTCAGTTATGTCTAATATAGCTTCATATCAGAATCTCCTAGGGATCTTATTCATCCAGAGTCTTAGGATCTATCTTAGACCAAAATAATCAGAATCTCAGTGGGCATTGTGGAACCCCAGCACAGGTCTCAGGCCCTTTCAAATTGTGTTCCTTGGGTTCTCAGTGTCTTCCATCCACACAAGCTCAAATTAAGTAGCTGTTTGTACAGTGCTCCCATGTACAAATTTGCTTGAACAATGTAATTTACAGATTAAAAGAGAAAAGAAGTTGATAACTTTTAGATTGCTTGACAAACACATTTTACACAAACTAATGAGAGAGAGAGAGAGAGAGAGAGAGAGAGAGAGAGAGAAAGAGAGAGAGAGAGAGAGAAATATTGAGTTAGTTCATGCTCATTCAACATACTGGAAACTGAGACTTAGAGGTAGGGAAGTAATTGTTGAATGTCTCACACAGCTAGATAGTGCTAGATTACTACTAAAATCTGTGTATTCTAAAGACCAGTTCATTAAATGAACATATTTGGGGTTACTGGGGATTGAACTTAGGGGTGCTTAACCACTGAGCTACATCCCCAGCCCTTTTTTATATTTTGTTTAGAGGCAGGATCTCACTTAGTTGGTTAAGGCCTCGCTAAGTTGCTAAGGCTGGCTTAGTTAAATAATTTTTTTTATTGAGTACCTACTATGAAATATCCTGTCCTCAT